CATCTATGTAAATAAGCATCACCACCAATCTTTCACCTTCCTTTTTTGTAAACATTGAATAATCAAACTTACTCTGATGATATCCTACAACAACCAATGCTTCAGTAAGCTTCAAATTCCACTGGCGTGAAGCTTGTTTCAAACCATAAAGATATTTTCACAGCCGACATACCATATTCTCTTCTTGGCTGCAAAATCCTTCAGGCAACTTCATGTATATCTCCTCAAAGAGATCACCTTGGAGAAAAGCATTATGAACATCCATTTGAAAAAGAGGCCAATCATTGATAGCAGCAAGAGCAAGAACAGTTCTGACAATGACTAATTTTGCTACATGAGAGAATGTTTCAACAAAATCGACACCCTCCTTTTGATTATAACCTTTAGCAACAAGACGTGCTTTAAAAAGCTCAACTGTACCATCAGCCTTGTATTTGATGTGAAATACCCATTTGAAACCAATAGGAGTCACTCCTTGAGGCAAAGACACTATAGACTAAGTACCATTGTTTTCTAAGGCTTAAATTTTCTCTTGCATGGTTTAATCCAAACCGGATTTGAAATGGCTTCAGAATAAGATTATGGTTTAACAATGGATGAAGTAGTAACAAGAAAATTTTGAGTATGAACAGGTAAATGGTCATAAGAAATGTTGTGAGAAAGAGGGTACTTACAAGTGGGAAAAGAAGAAGAAGATTGATTGGAACACACATAATCTTGTAGCCATGTTAGAGGTCTAGATGCTCGAGAAGATTTACGCAAAGGAACAACTGAGGAACCTGATGATTCGGGTAAAGCTGGTGCTAATGAAGTACGAGGAGATATAGGAGGTGGAGACAAAACCAAAAAATCTGAATCATCCACACAAGACTGAGCATGGAAAAAAGAATTAGATTTTTGAGGAAAACTAAAAGGAAAAATAGATTCATGAAATACAACATCACGATTGACGAAAAAAACATTTTTTTCAAGATCAAATAAAAGATAATCTTTTTGAGTGGATGAGTAGCCAAGAAACACAAAAGGAATAGCTCTTGAACCAAATTTATCAGTTAAATGTGTCTGAGTTGCATAAGTAAGTCCCCAAGAATACGAATATGAGATAAAAAATGTGACGTTTTATACAACAATTCAAAAGGAGTGAGCCAAGGAAAAACAGAGGAGGGTAACCTATTGATCAAATAGCAAGCAACAAGAACACACTCAGCCCAAAATTTTAAAGGAACTTTGGAATAAAAACGCAGGGCACAAGCAACCTCAAGTAAATGCCTATGCTTACGCTCAGCTACCCCATTATGCTGGGGAGTACGAACACAACTAGATTGGTGAATTATACCAAGAGAGGAAAACAAAGGAGAACACACTGAATTGAAAAACTCTAACCCATTATCACTGTGAATTATCTTAACAGAAGTAGAGAATTGATTTTGAATCATCAGAAAAAAGACTTTAAATGAATGACTACAACAATTTTGAGTCGTAACAAAAAAACCCAACTCATACGACTAAAATCATCCACAACAGTGATGATGTCCACTATGAGTAGAAACTTCATAAGGACCCCAAAGATCAACATGGATTAAGTGTAAAGGTTTGTCTATTCTATAGGTACTTAAAGGAAATGACAATCGTGTTTGTAGAGCCATAAGACAAATAGAACAATGTTGCACATCACTAGGATCAAATTTAACAGACTGAAAAATAGGCAATTTGTGTATTTTATTAATGGCAGCATGCCCAAGTCTATCATGCCAAAGTTCAGTAACAGAATGAGAACTATGAACAACAGGTTTACAAACAAATGAATTTGAAAAAGAATAAGAAACAATAAGAGAATAATTCAAACCCAATGATGTAAAAGAAGACTTGAGCAAGTAAAGACCTCCACGTTTCTTACCAATCCCCTTGATCTTTTCACTGGAGATGCCCTGCAAGATACAAAATGCATGATAGAACAAAACAAAATAGTGAAGTTCAGTGGTCAGTTTAGTGATAGAAAAAAGATTATTGTTGAACTCAGGGACAAACAAAACATCATGAATTATGTGATCGGTATTAAGAACATAAGAACCAATATAAGTGATGAGGGCTTTTTTACCATTAGGAAGATGCCCAGATTGATTTTTGTAAGCACATGCACTAGGATTTTTCAAACAAGAGAATTCAAAGGTAATATGATATGTAGCACCAGTGTCCAAGATCCAACTTATACAAGAAGCAATACCTGAAGTTCGTCCCACAAGATTAACAGAGGACTCAGAGGAAGGAGCTTAGTGCAACAAATTCAAAATTTGATTGTATCGTTCTTGAGTAAAAATTGGGGCAAGAGATACATGAGACGATATAGCAGGAACTAGAGTTGAAGTAGTAGAAGAAGCGCCATGATCATCAAGTTGAACAGTAAGAGTAGCTTGAGCATCCTTTTTTCGATTGAATTTGAAATCAGCAGGAAACCCATTCAATCGATAACATTGATCCTTTTTGTGACCTCTAACCTTACAATAGTCATAAGTGACATTGAATCGACGTCGACACATACTACCAGGAGCTGCAGAAGAATTAGAGTAAAAACAGTAGAATCATGAATCGAGGATATACCAGTGGAATAAGAGCACTGAGACTCCTCTTGATCCAGCATCGAGTATGCCTGGTTAACTGATGGTAACGGTTGCATCAGAAGAATTTGACTGCGAACGGCGGAATACAACTAATTTAAACCCATCAAGAACTGAAAAAGACGCTGTTGAAGAGCATTAGTGATATTTTACTGAGCATTGGTACAATCACACGAAGGAAGAGGCACCAAGGCACCGTATTCATCCCAGAGAAGTTTCAGTTTGGTGAAATAGGATGAAATTGAAGAATCCCCTTGGACAAGGGTTGCAATTTCTCGGTGTAGAAAATAAATCCAAGAACCATCAACTTTGTCAAAACGCTCTTTTAAATCAGACCACACAAGAGCAACACTAGAAGAGAAAACAATACCAACGGGAAAAATCCTTGCTAACAAAATTAATCAACCAAGAGAACACAATCACGTTGCACCAATCCTATTGAGGTTGAAGTTGCTCAACAAAATCAGATCGACGACAAACCCCATCAATTAATAAACCCCAATTTATTCTTGGCAAGAAGGTAAATACACAAAGACCTACTCCAAACATTGTAATCATGAACGCCGATGAGTTGGTGAGAAGCAAGAACATCACCCGGTGTATCGGACGAATGCAAATACAAGGGATGCGTGAAATCAATCTCTGAAACATCTTGTGGAGGCATCGCAAGGAAGAATAAAAAGACTCGCATGAAACAAACACAAACCCTAGAAACAAAAACGAGAATTGGGAATTTTTTGCACGGTGAGAGTTGCTAGAGACATAAACGAGAATGGAAAATTTGGACTATTGAAAAATAAGCCCAACAACCCAAGAGCCCAGAAAAGTGACGTTTGATACCATGTTAAAATGAATTATAACACAATTTTTATTTCACACATTGATAAACTTACATACAAATGTATTTGTACAAGAACTAAATATCTAACTTACAAACTAACTAAAACAAACAAACTTTCTAACTGCACTAACATAATAACTATTTACAACTGTTTTCTACAGCGATCACCCCCTCCCTGCCCATAGCTAGCTTGGCCCTGCCGCCTTTCTAAAAGTCTATAAATACCCAAAGAGGCAAAGAGCTTATAGCACATACATACATTTCTCTCAGGTTTCTCTAATTCTTCATTGTTAATATTCGTTTGCCTTCCATGGCCAAAATCAACCTCGTTTTAGCTGCTCTACTTGTCTCTGTCTTATTCTTCTCTTTTGGAATCAAGTTTACCGAGGAGAGGATTTTGAAAGTTGAGAAATTAGATGAGACTGGAAAGGTGGGTGTAACAGATGTGAACCGTCACATTTTGGAAGAGGATTCGTCGGCCGGAAATGTCAACGGTAATACTGTTTTTAGTGGTGACGATTTCCAACCCACCACTCCCGGTCACAGTCCTGGCGCCGGTCACTCTAACGGACCTGCTAGTAATGATAATAATTAGATTTTTTTAATTTTATCCCAAGTCTAAGTTTTATTATCCACTGTGTAAAGTATTGTCATGTTTCATGTAATCAATCTCGTACAGTGTCCTATGATTATGCGTTAGCTAGCAATGTTGTAAATATATGTCTGATTAACTTCTTGTAATATTAATAGCTTTTAAACATAAGATTGTCCCCTTGATTAAATGGTGTATTCTCAATTTTAGCTCCCCTTAACAATCAATAATTCAAGTTAGTCCTTTTGAACCCCATGATAAACTGCGTTTCTACCCCCTTAAAAATTTAATAATTCAATTTAACCCCTTTTAACACAATTTTTAACTTTAATCCCCTTATTTTCTTTTAATTTAATCTCGACCCCAATAAAAAAATCCAGATCTCGCCCCTTGCTACAAACCCCTATTTTAAGCAGTGACATATAAAGATGTAATGTTTTATTCTGTATTCCACTAACAGTCCTCAGCTTTAAGCTCTTAAATCAGCAATTAGCATTGGCATAGATAAGGTTCATAGCAGTAGAAAGGGGATTTTACAATGGACTCACAGCGATTCCTTTGAGATTGATGACGGTTTGATTTATGTTCTTGTTACTTGAGAGAATATAATAGGCAAGTTGAGCAACATAATGGCCGGCATAGCACTCACCGGTAAAAAAAAAGTCGTGGTTTTTGTACTGCAGAAATCTTTCGACCCAGTTGATGAAAAAAATGTAGGGGTCCTTTGCTGTTCTCTTGTCACCTACTTTGGTGTAATCAGAGGAATCATTCGAATAAGAAAAACCAACTCCTGATTGTGATTCCAGAAAGATCACATTTGCAAGTTGCAACAGCAAGTTTTTAAAGAATGTCAATTGAAAATCAAGAGAATCAATAAGTTCTGGCGTTGTCAAACAGAAAAGAGACTTTGTGTACAAATTTTCCAAGCATATTTGTTTTGTAAAGCGTTTTCCCATCGCTGTTTACACTGAAAGGTCCGAGTTCTTGCATGGCTCCATATCCAAACGATAAGCAGCCTGGTCCTGTACATCATCGTCTGTTTTTCTCCATTAATTTCTATATCTAAAATAATATTTTTCTAGGCCATAAAGATGTAACTGACATTTTTTAGATTGATAGATAATAGATTCTTCCATAAAGTCATGAATCAAGTGATGCTAATGCCTATTTAGTTGCTAGAGCTGATCAATGAAGTGTTTGCTATTCTTTTTATCTCTTATTTTGCTGCTTAATTTGTTTTTATTCAAGAAGCTCTCCAGGTGCAGGTACAAACAGATGAATCATGATTCAGAAACTGGGAAAAAACAATGGAAGAACAAATGAAAAATGACAAATTGAAGATTCCAGGTGGAAGCAGAAGTGTTAAGTTCTCTGATTTGTAACAGTGCTTTTTATGCCCAAAAGTTCTCTGTTTCTTTAGAAAGCTGAAGAATGATGGTGCTAGTATTGTTTCGAATGGACATCATTTTGATCCTGTAGTGATCGATCAAGGGTTGATTCTACGTAGGGGTTAAACATGATAGTTGTGAATCAATCTTTTACCGGAACTATCTTCAAGCTTCCTTATACTGCATATACTCATGCTTATCATTTGCAGACCATATGTAATATGCAGTGAATGAGAGATCTGATTGCTATGGCATATTTGGGTGTGATTTAATGTGAGACAATGAATAACCTCAACTCGAAAATCTATTTGTTGATGTAGAACCATAGATAAAAATGGTACCTCCATTCAACCGTAAAACAAGAGGCTTTTCGGAAGAATTTTCTGGAGACTCCACAAAATAATAAAACATGCTCGATGAACTATCAGTTCACAGGTCAAAATGCACTCCTTAGGCTGTCCCATAAGTCCGGTTAACATGATATATCAATTAGCAAAATACTACTACATTTTACATTTTCTCAATGGTTGAACCTGCGTGCAGAGGGCGGAAGCTTTTCTTCTAAGGAGGAGAAGAGCACCAGGGCCCGAGCTGGCTGGTAACTAGGTACAAAATGTCCAGCTCCTCTTACTGTTACAAATGTTAAGTTCTGATATCCAACAGCATACCCTCCAACCTTGACAAAAACCAACAAGTTAATCAGCTTGGTCAACGTCGAATCATTGTCTAAAAGCAGTAATTAGATTAGTAAAATCGAGTACAAATTATTACCTCCCCATGAATGTACCATGGATACCAGGCTGTCTTAATAGGCATCCCCAGTTTGTTTATGGCATATCTGCTACATGTCACAGGCAAGGCACCATCTGTGTCACCACTGTGATGATGCCATTAAACTTGATTAGAAACTATTCGATTTTGAAATCAGAGTTAAGTGAGATTAAGCTTCTTTTACGATGACTAACCTGTAGATCCAAACCTGAACTCCGCTTTCCATTACTTCCTTAATGATTGGCAACACTGTTAATGATCTATCTTTCCAGTTTCGATTTACTTCTCCACTGTTTTCTATTTATCAGGAAACGAGCGCATGAACTAAGGCATGAGTTAGTTAAATTCCACCGAGTAAAACCACGAGAATGGGAAAAAATTTAAAAGAGGGATGTTGGTCAATGCCTGCAGGATTTCCATGGTTAAGGAAGAGCAGTAACGTTTGCATGAAGTGCTTGCTGAACTTCTGGATTGTTTAAGTAGGAATGGACATAATTTTCCTAGCAGGGATCGAAAGCTGACACCTGTTTCCGAACAGAGAACATTATATTCACCAACTTGTAAATATGGAAAAAGAAAACAGAAGTTTATTTTACTCACGGAATTGGGAGTTGAAGAGGAATTGCACAAGGGAGCATAGATGTCATAGGCATATATATTACCAGCAGTATCATTGACTTTATCCACAAATTCTAAGCAATCTTTGGTGGGCTTGTTGTTTTGAAGGATAGTGTGAGCAAGCTGGGGTACATAGTGGCCTGCATAGCTCTCTCCTGTAATGAGAAACTCCCTGGTTTTGTACTCTGGGAATCTGTCATCACTGTTTTCGCCCGGGTGAAGAAAAACTTATATGACTCGGGGGTTTTCTTTAAAAGGGTTTTGAAATATTGGGAGTCGCCAAGTTGTCGTCATCGTTTTTTTCCCGAGTGGGGAAAACTTGTATGATTTAGGGGTTTTTCTTTGAAAAGGTTTTGAAATGTTGGGAGACGCCACCAATAATTTTAAGGTGTGATCGAGACATCATAAAAACCAGATAATTTTAATTAAACATTTTATTTTATCAAAATACCATGTTTAGGGTATATGAAAACCAAAAAATGGGTTTGGGAGTCAGTTACGCATGGGGAAGGATTAACACCCTACCACGCCCAAAAATCGGTTCCTAGTTAATTACCGTATATTTAAAATTAGAAATTATGAGTTCAAACTTTATTTAATCGAAAATTCACAATGGATTCACAGTTGAAAAGGATGTTCGTTTATTTAAGCCAATAGTGTTCTCCCCCTAACATGAATGCGGGAGATCAACTATTATGCCCAATAACCAGACATTGCCTTGATTTTAAGAAATCAAGACGCAATCTTGAAAAGGATGTCGACCTATTTCGGTAATCACTAATAGTCACCCCCTCAGCATACTTGCGGGAGATATACTATTGAATCCCTAATAAGTGAACATTGTCTTAGGTTTTAAAAGCATGTGCAATCAATCAATCGAATAAAACCTAATTTTACTAGGTGAATTCATTAAGGCTTCTCTTGACCTAAAGTGTTAAATTATGAAATTAAGGAACCTAGAGGACTAAACTTGGAAACAAGTCTCTAATATTAACCCTATCTGATTTTATTAACCAATTATTGGATCGGATAATTAATTTGAGGAATCAAACATTTGTTTGCAAAAACTCAGATCAAATCGTCCTTTAATTAAAGGACTAAGATGAAATTAAACTCAAGGTGTAGGCTCTAATTGTTAAACTAATTAATTATGTTAATTTAAAATTCTAATTAAAAGTTTAAGGACTAAAATGTGAAAATGCTAAGGTTAAGACTCTAATTATTAACCCTAATTAATTACCCTTTTTTATTGAATCGAATAATCGAAATGAGCCCTCAAGCATCTAAATTCAAGAGCTAAATCAAATTATTCTCTAAATTAGAGACTAGGTGTGAGAAATCTAAATCTAAGGCTATAATTACTAACTAAATTAAAGAACTAGAGCTAAAAGATTAATCCTAAAAACATAAAACAAACATGTATTTAAAAAAAAACAAGCTAAAACTATACAAATTTGATTTTTAAAGACTAACTGCATATTTACAAATTATCAAATAAATTTAACATGAAATTAATATTAGGGTTAATTTAACAATAAATTAATTTAAGGAATAAATCTAAAAAACCTAAATTTAGGGACTAAAGCCTAAAATTTAAGTATTCTAATTATAACCTAAATTAGGACTAAATTAAAAATAACATAAATTAAAGTACTCATTAATTTAGGGACTAAATTAAAATTTTGAGTCCCAATTCGAAAATAAATGAAATAAAAAATAAATCAGGGGACTAAGATATAAAAACGCATTAAAAGTAAAGGGACTCAAATAATATTATCCCAAAAATTTAGTTCTAGATATTTAATGAAACATGTAAATGTAAAATAGCCTGTTAATGACGTATATTCGAATGTATCACAAAAAAGGACATCATGTGCTTATTTTGTAAAAACGCGGGTAAGATAGGGGGACTAAATGATGATTTTCTGTTTTTTATAAGCCAAATATGCACTAATAAACAAAAATGAAAAAATTACAGGATCATGCCAAATAAATTAAAACTAAAATCAAAACAGTCATTGAGGGTGACCAAATGCAAAAATGCAAGAACTTTAGGGGATTTAAGTGTAAATAACCCCTAAATTTTACTATAAAGTACATTTTTTTTTCATTTTAACCTAACCCATAAAAACACTCTCCCTACTCTCATTCATTCTCTCTTGACTGAAACCCACCAAAGCCCAATGTCACCATATCGACCACTACTCTGGCCACCGTTAAAAATATCCTAAATAAACCAAAACACCCCGATCTACCCAATTATCCACAAATCAAATCTGAAAACCCCCTAAGTAAGGCCTAGATACCCCTAAACTAAGTCCCAACCTTTTGGTTCCTACCACTCCAACAAGGCCCCTGAAGACTCGAAGCTCTCCCCTCTCAGGTAAACTCTTTGACTTCTTATATATTTATTTATTTATTTATTTATTTATTTATTTATTTCGAAACTTTCCTAAAATAAGAAAAAAAAATCAGTTTTTTAACTTGAAATATTTTTTGCTTTTGTATTGCTTTGAAAAGTGAGGGGAAATCCCTTTTTACATACTGATTTTCAGGTTTTATACCCAAGATTATAGAGATTTTACAATAAAAAACAAAACCTAATCATACTTGTTTTCTGACATTCACTGTGCATGATGGATTGAGTTTTTAATGCCCCTAAAATTTTGGGGTTTTGGGTTGGATTTGATATGGTTTCTTTCTTTTACTATGTTGTTGGGGTGATGATGGTGGAAAAATGAAGGTGGCATGCTTCATGGGTGAAGAGAGGCGACGACACGATGAAAAATATGAAGAGATTGTCACGTGTATCACATATGCCGATGACGTGCTAGTGATCGACCAATGACTCACCGATGGAGGGAACACCAATGGTCATCTTTAATGGGGCAATCATTGGCCATTGGATCAAATTTAGATCCAATGGTTCACATTGATTTGTGCTTGTTGGCATAGATCAATGACATGGCATCATGAGAGCCTTTAGACCCAAGTTTTAACTAAGGGTCTATATCACTTTGTGTTTGTTTGACAAGGATCCATTGAATAAAGACCCTTAGATCAAGATTTATCAATGGATGAGATTGATTTGTGTTAGTTGAATTGGATTGATGAGGTGGCCTCCTCAAAAGTAACACCCGTTAAATGCCTTGTCCCCCTTTGAAATTCAAACTAAAAATATCTCCCCCACCAAGAACAAAAATTGGTGGCTATCGAAGGAGATGATACATTAGGGTTTGAATATTGGGCACAATTTTGTATGCAAAATAATAATAAGGGTAAAGTATAGTAATGGTCACTGAACATTTCTGAAGCTTGCATTAGGTCCCCTAACTTTTAAAACTTGCAATACAGTCCCCTAACATTTATTCCGTTTTCAATATGGTCCCCCAACTTAAATCACTATTAGAAAATTAGGGTAAATTATATAAACGGTCATTGAACTTTTCAGGCACTTGAATTTAGGTCCCCAACTTTTAAAACTTGCAAAACAGTCCCCTAATAATTTTATTTTCTTATTAAATATAGATGTATAGAAAATATAAATGATTCAATTTATATTTAAATGTATGAATCATTTATATTTTTGATATATTTTATTTTTCTTGTATAAACTAGTATTTAAAATATGTTTATATTTTAATCAAAATATTTCAATATACGAATAAAAATATATTTATAAAATGTATATTTATATTTAGATGTATAAATAAAAAAATATTCATATTTAATGTATGAATCATTTATATTTTTTGAATATTTATTTTTAATAAGAAATTAAAATTATTAATTATATTAGAAATACTCAACTTAAGATTATATATATAATCATGAATTATAAATATGAAAAATATAATTATTAAATTTAGTTTAAAAATATATAAATCTTAAATTTATTCTTTTAAAATATTGTATCAACTAATATTTAAAAAATATATTAAATCTATCAAACATAATATTTTTTATTGTAAAAAAATATAATATTTTCCCATCATTTATTGCTTTCAAATTTTTTGCCGAAGTTCAAATCTCATTGTTTCCATTTTCCATTATATTCTTTTTTTCTGGCATTGGTCATACTATTAGTATATGTATTATTGTATATCTCTTAACACAAACGATGGTGTTAGCTTAGTGGCTCCACCCTGTATCTTTCATTTGCGTGACTCAGGTTTGAGTTTGCCCAAGACCCAAATTTTACTTCTTTGTAACTTAATTTTCTTCTAATTAGGTGGTGACATGTGTCACCAATAACATATATCATGATCATGTGTTAACACATGTCAGATCCTGGTTAAATGATTAATTTATTAAATTTTATTTAATTTAGGACCAAATTGATAGCATATATAAATAATTAGGTGGTGACATGTGTCACCAATGACACGTGTCATGATCATGTGCTAACACATGTCAGATCCTAATTAAATGATTAATTTATTAAATTCTATTTAATTTAGGACCAAATTGATTATATAAATAATAAAGACTGAATGTATAATAATGTCAATTCCTTTTAACTGCCACTTCATCATTTGTATCAATTGGTAACGACTAGTGGCTTAGTTGAAATAGTTAAATAATTATGTTGTATGATTGATAAATTTAAAAGATCGATGACAAAAGTAAAAAGGGCTAGATAGTTAAGTTGTCAACCCAGTAGTTTACACTTTTATTTATACGTCAAAATAACATTTTATAAATTTAAAATTCGAATTATTTTCAACCTCTTCTATATCCTAACTACTTTTTTAAATTAAAAAATTTCTTCAACAGATAAGAATTATACTATTATATTTATATAAAAAATACGTATCACATGAAATAAGATGAAATTAAATAATAATAAATCTGACATAATTGAATTTAATTGAATTATTTTGGAATTTAGAGTTTAGAATGAAATTGAATTACTTTGGAAATTGGGGTTTAGAATGAAATTGAGGACTGTTTTGCAAGTTTTAAAAGTTGGGGGGACCTAAATTCAAGTGTCTAAAAAGTTCAATAACCTTTTATATAATTTACCCTAATTTCTAACGGTGGTTTAAGTTGGGGGACCATATTGCAAACAAAATAAATGTTGGGGGACTGTATTGCAAGTTTTAAAAGTTAGGAGACCTAAATGCAAGCTTCAAAAATGTTCAGTGACCATTACTATACTTTACCCTAATAATAATAATAATATTTTATAATAATAATATAATAATGGTTAAAAAATGGTGACTACATCTGCCCCTCTTTGCTCATTGTTGTGGAACTAGAATAGAGAAAAAACACAAAGCACCATTTTTCAACGATTACTGCTTGTCGAGCTGCGAGTTCTTCTCGTTATGAACTCTTTACTGGGGATGTCAATCCACCTCCTTCTGCGACGGATAAGACATGATTGGACAATTTCTTCTCATTATGAACTTCTTCTCTCGAAATTGATGACCCAAGGTGATGCTGATCCAACTCTTTATGTGTTGGATGAGCCAAGGTCGGTTCTATTCCAACTTCTTATGTGATGGAATCGAGCTAAGGTTGAATAAGTTCTTCTCATTATGAACTTGTTCTCTTTCATCGGATGAGTTCTTCTCATTACGAACCCTTCCATTAGAAATGTTGATCCATCTCATTTTGTGATGGAATCGAGCTAAGGTTGAATAAGTTCTTCTCATTATGAACTTCTTCTCCTTCATCGAATGAGTTCTTCTTATTACGAACCCTTCCATTAGAAATGTTGATTCACCTCCTTTTGTGATGGAATCAAGCTAAGGTTGAATAAGTTCTTCTCATTATGAACTTCTTCTCCCTTATCAGATGAGTTATTCTCATTACGAACCATTCCATTAGAAATGTTGATCCACCTCATTTTGTGATAGAATCGAACAAAGTGATGATGCTGATCCAACTCCTTATATGATGGATGAGCCCAAGTTCTTCTCATCTTTTGCAAGAAAAAAATCCAGAAATAAAACCTTTGTTGACTCTTTGAATTCCTGCCAGATATTCAAATGCATGTATATGCTTTTACTTTTGCAAATGTTTAAATGTGTTTGCATGGTGTAATTTTCGTGTTTTGAGCTCCATGGTCTTGTAAATCTTTGTTTTTCTATGTTTTTCGAGTCATTGTCTTTTACTGGGTCTTTTCCTGATCCGTGATACTGGGTTTCTTCACTTCTAAAATCAAGATTGATCTCTTAACATTCTATGCGTATTTCTTCCCAGGAGCGGTCAGAGATATGCCTTGGAACGAGTTGTGTTATTGTTATTTCATCATTTGTTTTATCATTCGGGTTTGGCATCTCTCTTTTCACCTTATTTCAACCACTTGCTTCAATGGGTGTGAATATTGACATGGTGGTTTGCCTTGGATTCCCTATACTTTATAGGCTAATTCAAAGTAATACTGAGAAATTACTCATTTGAAGTTGGGTTATGTCAGTCTGTTTATGACATGAAGAAATGAATGATCTGAAGCTTGAAGTGATAATCATGAAATTTATTAATAAAAATATAGGTTTTTTATACAAAGCCACGTCAATCGAAAGAATTGATTAGAGACTCTAGAAACAAAAGGCATATGCCCCAATGAATTCTAGCACAAGTGTTCCTGAATTAGTTAATTTGACACCTCGAGGTAATACACTGTCTGGGAGATCTCAATGTCGCGAAGCTATCTGTGGATATGTAGTCTCTCACGAAGTACCAGACTTTCGAGAGAGTTTATTTTCCCTGATACCCCAATATCAAAATGCATTTGAGCCGCCTTTTCAGGTTTTCAGCTCAAATCCTGACTCCCATTGCGGATTTTTATCTTGAACCATCATTTCATATTTCCTTATTTTTCTCTCTCATTTTTTTACTTTTATTTTTATTTTTTAAGTTTAATATTTCTTGACAGAATATGAATTTATTGGGTTTCTAAGTATATTTCATTCTATCTCTGCCAAAATCAACGCTCCTCCGGAAAAGACCTTTTTGACAACGTAGACCCTTCCCAATTAGGCATCCATTTACCACAAAAATCTTTATGAATTGACAAAATCTTTTTAAGCACTAGATCACCCTCTTGAAATCCTCTTGGGCGAACTTTCTTATCGTGGGCTCGCATCATCCTTTTCTGGTACATATGTCCATGACATATAGCTTTCAGTCTCTTTTATTTAATAAGATTCAGTTGATCAACCCAAGATTGAACCCATTCTGCTTCATCTAACTCTACTTCTTTTAAGACTCGAAGTGATGGAATTTCAACCACAACGGGTACAATTGCCTTTGTTCCATAGATGAAAGAGAATGGGGTTACCCCTATCGATGTCCACACAGTCGTCTGATATCCATATAGGGCAATGGGTAATATTTCATGCCAATATATGTAGGTTTCAGTAGTCTTCATAATTATCCTTTTGATGTTTTTGTTTGTCGCTTCAACTGCCCTATTCATTTTCGGGCAGTAGGTTACAGAGTTGACATGTTTTATCTTAAATGCGCACAGAGTTCATCTATCATCTTGTTATTCAGATTAGTAACATTATCTATGATGGTCCTCTCTGGCAACCCATACAGACAGATTATCTCTCTTTTTTATGAACTTGCAAAATGTAGATCTCGTGATACTGGAATAGAAAGAAGCCTCTACCCACTTAGTAAAATAATCAATTGCCACTAAGATGAATTGATTCCCATTTGAAGCCTTTGGTGTGATTGCCCCAATGAAGTCCATACCCCACATAGAAAACGACCAAGGTTAGATCATAACATGTAAAGGTAAAGGTGGCACCTGAATTTTATCCGTATATATCTGGCGGTCATACACTTTAACAAGAGTTGATCACTACCCCTTCTGTATAAGATCTCTTCATCGAGGAAGTATCCAGCTGTTATTCTTCTGATTCTATTTTCGTCAATTTCAGATGCACCTAGAGGATATGCTTGGTATCTCATATAATGTAAGATATCATAGTACCGTGGATGGTCATCTGCTTCTTCTTCTAGAAGATAGCAATGTGTCGGGGTTTCAAACAGTTGCATTTTTATTAGCATCATGTATGTTTTCCTATTTTCCTTAAACATTGCAACCAACGTAGCCAGAGCATCGACCATTTGATTATCCTCTCGGGGAATATATTTGAATGTAACATCTTCAAATTCTTTAAATAGTTCAAGGACCAAATTTCAATATTCAATTATTTTTTGGTCATTTGTCTTCATTCTCCCCTTAGTTGATATACTACTAATAAGGAATCTCCGTATACTTTAAGCATTTTGACTTCTCTTTCGATGGATGCTTTTAACCCCATGACACATTCTTCGTATTCTGCCATGTTGTTGGCGTAAAAGAATTCCAATCTACTTGTGAAAGGATAGTAGATTTCTTCTGGGGAAATCAGCACTGCCCCAATTCCTTTCCCCAAAGCGTTAAAGGCTCCATCAAAGTATAATTTATAGGATTTGTCGTCCATGACACTTTCTTCTTTAGTTGAGATGAACATCAAATCTTCATCTGGGAAATTAAAGTTTAGAGACTCGTAATCTTCTGAGGCACGACTCGTAAGAAAGTCGGCTATGATACTCCCTTCTATTTTCGTTTGGATCACATACACAATATCAAACTCAGATAACAACATCTTCCACCTAGCCAGTATACCAGTCAGAGCAGGAGATTCCATCAGAAATTTTAGGGGATCCATCTTTGACATTAACCACGTGGTATGGTATAACATGTACTGTCTAAGCCTTCAGGTTTTCCAAACTAAAGCACAATACAACTTTTGAATATATAGGTATCGAGTCTCGCAATCAATGAATTTCTTGCTCCGGTAATAAATGGCTCTCTCATTTCTTCTTGACTCGTAATGTTGTCCCAACACGCATCCCATTGAATTTTCAAAAACAATTAAGTAGAGAATTAACGGCCTACCAGGCACTGGTGCTACTAGGATTGGAGCATTAGACATGTATTTCTTGATAATCTCCAAAGTCTCTTGGTATTCATCATTCCAAACCTCACGGTTATTCTTCCTGAGTAAACTGAACACCGGGCCACACATATCAGTGAGTTGGGAAATAAACCAAGATATATAGTTTAGTCTTACAAGGAACCCTCGAACTTGTTTCTATGTATGAGGTGTTGAAAGATCTTGAATTGCCTTGACTTTGTCTGAATCGATCTCGATTTCTTTTTGACTCATCACGAAGCCTAGTAATTTCCCTGATTTTACCCCGAAAGTTCATTTGGCTGGATTGAGCTTTAATTGTACTTTCTCATCCTTTGAAAGGGTTTTCTTGGGTTTTGTATATGCTTCTCTTCGGTTTGAGATTTTGCAATCATATCATCCACATATACTTTGATTTCCTTATGCATCATATCATGGAAGAGAGTCACCACAGTTCTTGGATAGGTTTTCCCAACATTTTTCAACCTGAACCACATCACTTTATAGCAAAAAGTATCCCATATGGTTATAAAGATCATTTTTTGTCTTCATGATTCATTTTGATCTGATTATATCCCGAGAAGTCATCCGTGAAGTAAAACCATTAATGCACCAAAGTATTGTCCATCAGAGTATCTATATGAGGCAGGGGAAAATTATCTTTTGGGTTATCCCTATTGAGGTCTCGATAATCCACACACATACGGACTTCCCATCTTTCTTAGGTACAGGGACGATATTGGCTACCCATTAAAGATACTTTACCTCTTGAAGGAAGCCTGCGTCAATTTGTGTTGTCACTTCCTCTTCAATCTTTAATAGTATGTTTGGCCTCATTCTCCTGAGTTTCTGTTGAACTGGCTTGCATTTTGGTCTAATTGGCAGGTTATGAACTACTATACCAGTGCTTAACTCAGGCATATCCTGGTACGACCATGCAAAGATGTCCCTGAACACTTGGAGCAAACTTATTAATTCTTGCCTTATTTCTATAGACAGAGTAGTGTAAATTTTTATCTTTCTCATTTTTTCTATTGTTCCCAAATTTACTAGCTCGGTTTCTTCCTTTTGGGGTAGAATATGTTTCACTTCCTTTTCCACCAGTCTTAATAATTCATTAGGAACATCACAATATGCCTCATCTTCGCATTCATTGACTTCTTCTAAACACAAAGGTCGCTCAAAATCTATCTTGTGACCGAATTCAGGAACATTTATGCTAGTATCTGTCATACCACAACTTAGGGCCTAAAATTTTCTTAAATTTTTTTCGATAACTAAATTAAAATTTTAACTAAATTTGAGGACACCGAGAAATGTGTGTATAATTAACTCACAGAAATTCCCGGTCAAAGAAGGGCTTGCTAGAACTCTGAAGAAAGGCTTAAAGCAGAGCTTTCTCACTGACTCAGGAAAGGCTCAATCATCAGAAATGGTTCGAGGAGAGCTTCAATCGAAAAAAGCCTACTTATTCTACTCGAAAACCCTATTAGACAGTAGTGGTAAACACAGTAGAAAGGAGCTTTCCTAGATGTCAGGCGGGGAATCCTCATTGTGTACTACCTAGTCGACTCTCTTAGTGTATCACCGAAGTCTATCTAATGTAATGTCTCCTAATGCAGCTATGAAGGGCAATGCTTTGTGGAAACCAAGAAAGATATTTTTTGTTTTATTGCTCCCGTTTCTTCACATCTGCGCTCGTCAAACCAACTTTTCTTTTTGGGAGGTGAAACAGGGGTTGAAGCGGATAAATTTTGATTAAATTCATTTCGAAATTCAGAAAGTATAAAAAACTAGAGAACTTATGGCATAATTTTACCATTTTTCCTTTTTAGATGGAAAGTTTCCTCTTTTGGAAATGTTATTCTCTATCTCTTCAACCTTTCCTCTTTCAGTAGGAAATCTTTAATTGATGTTTCATCGCCGACCGTTGTTCCATTTTCAACACATCCCGTACCATTATGTTCCTTGCATCGTCCTGAGTCCATCGGTGTTCATTTTGTCTCTGTTACAGCCGATGTATGAGGGAATGAGGAAGATCAAGTTTTTGACGTTACAAAATCGACGTCTCTGTCTTTCACCACTGTAAACCGAGCTTGGTAAGTGTCTCAAACCCCATAAAAAGCATATAGAAATTTTTATGCTATTTTCTCAACCTCGTATGACTCCACTTGCACCCCACGCGCAGCAGCCGCATGCGCCCCCATACGCGCGATGCCGCTGCCTGTGGGGAAGTCCCACCACCTGGTGGGTTTCTAGAAACGGACTTACCCGATCCAACCTGCCTGCCCGACCTGACTCGCTTGTCCGACCCGATCTAAAATGAATCAAACCGGTAAGCTGTTGACCATTGACTATCAAACAACTGTTGACCATTGACCGATCATTGACAGTTGGCCGTTGACCGACGTTGATCGGTGAGGAAGATCAAGTTTTCGACGTTGCAAAATCGAGCTCTCTGTCTTTCACCGCTATGAACCGAGCTTGGTAAGTGTCTTAAAACCCCTTAAAACATATAAGAATTTTCCACTATTTTCTCAACCCCGTATAGCCCTTCATGTGCCCCCACGCGCGTGTTTCCACTATGTGTGGGGAAGTCCCACCACCTGGTAGGTTTCTAGAAACGAGCCGACCCGCCTGCCCGACCTGACTCGCTTGTCTGACCCGCCTGCCCGACCTGACTCGCTTGTCCGACCTGATCCGACTCGAACCGGTCTAACTCGAATCGAACCGGTAAGCTGTTGACCATTGACTATCAATCGACCGTTGACCGATCGTTGACCGTCGGTTGTTGACTTTTTTTTGAAAACCTTTATCTTGACATTTTTCATCGTCTTGAGTCTGATTTTGCAATCCGTTTTGTCAAATTCTGACCTGAAATGCCCGAATCAAACCCATTAATCTAAAAATGCTTAGTCTTTTTAGCATTTTTTCTTATTTATTTGAGATTTGGTTATGGAATTTATTAGAGAAAATATTTTTATGAAGGTACTCATGTTTCACCCGATCAAGGATCAGTTTGATCCAGTGTTTTCTTTGAGAGTTACTCATATGTTTCTATAAATTGTTTAAATAAAGGTTATTATTATTCATATTATGATTCCGATATGGATTTTTTGATTCGTAGGATCTAACGCTACTGCTGATCGTGATCAGCAGACTCAGTAGTAGACTTTTCTATCAGACTACTTAGACCGGTACAAGTGTGTTTCCTGATGGTGTTACATTACTGTTTTAAACTACTCATCTGAACTGTTTGAGATTTCTGATGATACTGAATATTTTTACGACACGATACCTGATTTTTTTAATATTGTTTATTTGATATTTGATTTACTGTATATTTCTTATATGATCTCTTGTTACTGTATTTTTATATCTGATTTCTGAGTTTGGAATATTTTCATGTTTGAATAGATTAAACTATTGTTTTCACTCGAATACATAAATGTTTATTACTTTCATTGGGGGTATTATTGGAGGAAGTATATCATACTTAGTCTATGACTTATAAGACATTACTGAAGGCTCATCTGCTTTGTTCCCAATGTAAGTCCTTACCGCAGGTCCTTATACTATAAGTATAAGGCCCTTACCGGGTGTACAAGTGGGTGTATGGTTCTGGGGAATGAATGGGGGTAGTGGTCATATTTTTTAAACATGTTTGATAAACTGATTTTTACTGAAGTATTTTATTTGTATGTTTTTTATACACCGTAAGGAGAACATTGGACCTTTTAGCTCATTCTGTAAATTTTAACTTTTTCATATAGTAGCAGACCGTAGGCTAGAAGACTTGGCATCATAAAAATCGACTACTCCTGTTTTTGTACCTTTGTATATCTCTCTATGTCTTTTTGTTATACTTTAGTTCCACATGTTTTTCCTACCATCTCAATATATTTTTATTACCAGTATTTTGTTATGTATATGTTTTATACGGGTTTTATGATATATGTATATATATATGGCTATCGTATGAACCTTTCGTATGACTAATTTCTTATTATACCGTTATATGTATTTTAACGTTGTTTTAAATATGAAAAGAATTTCTAAATACAATATGTAACCTCCTAGATTTGGTCATAATGTCTAGGTTTAGTCTAGGGGGTTACAGTATCATTATGACTTATGCATAAAATTTGGCTTGGATGTATTGGAATACAAATGTGAAGGATAAAGAATACGGTGCAAAGAACATGATACACAAATGTGAAGAATGAAAATGATTACCATTTGAGAAAAACATCTTTTATTAATCAGTTCTGATAACTTTGATTCCTACAAAATGCCCCTTTCGATACTTTTAAGTATTAACAAAAGTTATCAAATGTCCTTTTCGATACTTTTAAGTATTAACAAAAGTTATCCTTAACATTACTTTGAATTAGACCTAAAAACTACATGGAGGTCCTTTGCAGTCAAGTTGTTAACTTCTTCACCAGGGAAGCAAGGACGGATCCAACTAAAAACTTTCCAGCCTGGTTTACCCCGGTAATCATGTTGATGGACAGAACTTCCAAAGCCTCACCCATCATATTATGCAATTTCATCAGCTCTATAGTCTTGATAGCATTGGTCAGTTACTGCTTCATATCGTACACCCCTCCGAATTTGAAATAACTCTCTATAGGATGGAAGGACATACGTTCCCCAGGGATATCTTCGCCTTTCATTATGGCATTTCTAGCTTCAACCCTCTTTTTCAGTTCCTGGCCACATTGTTGGAATGTGGGCTTGAATCTGAGCCC